GCACGTTAAATATCGCATGCGATTAATCGTGCAGCCCTACTAGTAACACATTTCAATTTTTTTCTATGGGGATCTGTCATTCAGATATGAACTATTCAGTTCTGACCAGTATGTATTCCAATTGAGACTAGTATCTTTTTAAATTTTACTATTAAGTATTCATTAGATACTAGTATTTATTTATTAAATACTACTACTTTTCATTAGATACTAGTACATATTTAATAGATACTAGTAGTAATTCATTAGGTACTAATTAGGGCTGCACGATAAATCGCATGCGATATTTAATGCGAGTGCGTGCTTTCACATGGTGCAGCATTTACTACACAGAGCCGTTGTTCAATGACAAGCTGCGCAAAATCACGTTCATATATGATATTATATACGATATTTAAATATCGCATGCGATTTATCGTGCAGCCCTAGTACTAATATTTTATTAGTAGTACTTTGTTTTATTAGACACTAGTATCTTATGTAATTGTTACTAGTAACAAATCTTATTATCTTAGTCACAACTGCTTTTTTACTTGTCTTATGTTATGACTAGTCAGAATGGCCACTGTAGAGTTCAATTAAAAATCTTACTAGTAAAAATGAGTACTATTATTTATTGAATAATTACTAGGAGCTTATCAATAAGGACGAGTAGCTAATGAAAAAGTACTAGTAATAAACAGTAGTATCTATTGAAATCTAATGAATAAATACTAATATTTAATAATAGACTAGTCACTATTGGGATACATACTAGGGCTGGGCAAAAAAATCTATTTTCCGATTAATCGTTTTTTTAAATGACATCTGAATCGATACCCAGCCCTAATACATACTAGGGTTGTGACGGTGAGGAAATTTTTTTTCCTCGCTTTCCATTGCTTTTAAATAGCTTAAAAGCGCCGTGCGCATTTCACTTTCATTTTTTAATTAGCGGCAGTTAGGCGTCAATTGCTTGAATGCAACAACAAAATACAACGTCAAACTCACTTTAGCGTTTTTATTTCTATAAAAAATCAAAACGACGGTGGGGGTCGGTGCCGCGGTGGGCAAGTGAGGTAACCAGTGTTGCGGCTTAACACCGGTATCACCGTCAGCACCGTCTATCACGGCAAGCCTAATACATACTAGTCAGAACTGAATAGCTGATTTCTGAATGACAGTAACTACTGAAATAAGTACTAGTATCTAATGAAAAAGTATTAGTATCTAATAATAAGTAGTAGTATCTATATCACAGGTAATGAATAAGTACTATTATCTACTTGATAGGTACTAGTATCTATTGAATAAGTACTATTATTTAATAATAAGTAGTGGTATCTATATAACAGGTAATGAGTAAGTACTAATATCTAATGAATGAGTAATATTGATAAATAAGAATTAGTGTCTAATAGATAAGTACTAGTATATTTTAACACTTTACTAGTAGCTAAAGAATAAGTACTAGTAGCTAATGAAAAAGTACTAGTACCTAATGGAAGTACTAGTATCATGAAAACAGATACTGGGATGATTTATAGATTTCATGTTAAAATGGCTTGCCATTGTTGTAATTTAGCTTTGATGACTGTCCCACATGTGGGTGTGCATTATTCACCGGTCTTGCCGTCTCTCTGAGGTGCCGTGTTTGTGTGCAGCAGTGAGATGGTTCGTTGTGTCGCTGTGTTCAGATCTTCTTGAGCCCAGGCAGGATCCAAATCACACTCTGGCTTCAGCTGACGCAAGGTCACATGACCCACGAGAACCGCTAAATAAACAGAGAAAAACAGATTTGAATGACAACGGTTATTCACACATGCAAAAATGATCTCAGGCAGCTTTAAACATGCATTTGCATTATAACTAACTTACATGAATCATTAATATATGAAACAAAGGAACTAAATAAAGTTAAAACAGTAAAGTGCAGACATTTAATGAACGTAAACACTTTGATGACTTTTCCAGTAGCCCATTACTGCTGTTATAAGGCATTTAAAAATCATTGTATAGAAATTTTATGAGGAGGTTTCTAGCTGGTTATATGACTTTTAAAATTTTATTATTATTTTATTTTATTTACACAAATGCATATTCACTTTATAAACGTACATTATTATTATTTTATTTTTTTACACAAATGCATATTCACTTATTTATTTTAGCAGGTGAAATAACGTTTATTTATTTATTTTTACACAAATGCATATCTTTAAAAAAAGCCAAATATTTTAGCTGCTGAAATTTAAGCTTTTTTTTTACATCTAATTTAATTTACACAAATGCATATTAACTTTAGAAATGTCAATTATTTTAGCTGTTAAGATATTATACTTTTTAAATTAAATGTTATTTACACAAATGCATATTCACTTCAGCCACAATCACACACTAAACCAAATATACAATATCTGTTATTAATATATGCAAAAACATATGGGCAGCATTAAACATGCACTTGCATTAAAAAAAAGCTTAATTTATATGGGGAAAAAAGGACTCTAAAAACAAATGAAGACATTTAATGAGAGTAAACAAAGTTATAAACAAACAAGAAAAGGAAAGCATACCCAGGTAGTGCAGTTCTTTAGGCATGAGAGTGACGCCAATGTGCAGGAAGACCTGTTTGACGCAGGGAGCAGCCAGAGGAGACCGAAGGAGGGGCAGAACAGCCTGCAGGACTCCAGGCAGATGCATCCAGATCAGCGGAGGACGACGGGCCAGAGCCGCCTCCAGCAGACTGACCGCACACTGCAGCTCCACGTCCAGCTGAGAGAGAACAAGAGAGACAGAGCCGCGGCTCAGTGGTTTGTTTACGCTGACAGCTGTGTCTCAGGTGACCTTCGGTACCGTATGACCTCTCACCTCCTGCAAACGCTTGCGGATGCCAGACTCTTTCTCCAGCTGGTTCTGCATCATCTCCTTCTGCTTGCTGGTCAGCTGGATCTCCTCTTTGATGCCTTTCTTCTTCTTGATCTCCTACAAGACAAACACAAGGGGGAGCTCAATCAGATGTGCAGTATTAAACTGAACGCACTGCACCAGATACTGTATCCCACAATGCAAAGTACTTGATTAATTTCCAGTGTGACTGATGAACTAGATGAAATATCAGCCCAGAATTTTAATGTATTTTGATCTGACTGCCAAAAGTTTTGACATTTAAATTACAGGCTTTTAATTTCTTATATAAAAATAAATATATAAATTTATAAAATTAATACAAATACAAAACACAAATTAATATAAA